CTCCCCGGCAGGGGGGGGCTCCCTTTGCAGCCTATGTGTCTATGCTGGGCTGGGTAGCCTGGGGAAGCCTCCCTCAGTGAGAGTCACGCCCAAAACGCCCACCCCCAGCCGGGCCCCAGTGCAGTGCGCAAGGAAACTGAGGCACAGAGACACACACACACACACACACAGAGTTACTGCAGAACAGCAAGGATAGTAGGAATCACACATAAGATAACAAAGCAAACGGCGCGAACCCAACCCCCACTCCCTTACAAGGAGACACGGTGTGACTAGTGCTCTGATTTCTAGGTCTGAGCTGTAGAAGCCCTGACAACAGGCAGCCCCTCCCCAGCCAGCCCGGAGGCCTGTTTCCCATTTGTATCAAGCCCCTCTCCACCGTTATTCAAATCACAAGCCCACCGTTGCCCTCTATTGTCAGCTGTTGCAGGACAGTCAGGGACAGATGCACTTTCCTTCCCTCTCTCTGCCCCGTGCAGCCACACGCAGCTTGCTCACCAGCCCCGCTCGGTTCTCTGTCAGCCAGTTTATTGCTAGATCCGAGGGGAGACGCGTGAATTCCATCGACTGCAGCAGGAGAGAGGCCTCCAAGCAGTGTGCCCTGTAAACTGAGCACTTGGGTGGCCACCCAGAAGAGATTAAAATGCCGCCCAGATGACAGCAGAGCAACCACTGCCACCTACAGCCAGCAGCACGTGTTTGTTTCTCCTGGTGGTACACTTCCACATATGCTTTGGTGCATGTAACAAAATTCATTCCACGCACGGATGGAAAGCAAATTGGAGGGAACATTTCCCCTACCTCTCTTAGCCCCGTTGAGAATCTCACTGGTCATTTGTTAGGAATCTGAATGTTTAACCCGTTAATCAGTTAAGGTTAATCGGTGGGAGCCCAGGAGGCAGGGGCTTCTCTGACCAGCACACCACAACAGCCCCTGCCTGCAGCAGGGTGAGGAGGCTGTTAAACACGTTTAACCAGTTAACCAGGTAAATGGGATTTTACATCCTTAGCGCCCAACTGCATCGACAGGCACCTACTACGGACATTTGAAAATCTGGCCCGAGGTCACTTTTTAAAATGAGACGCGTCTGAAAATCACATCCCGCATTGTCGTATTTCTCCCAGCGTCAGAGCTTCCAAGTGCTATTAACTGATGATTTCAAGAGCTAGTAAACTCCTCCAGGATGAAACTCCAGATTTATGTAACAGACAAGTGTCCCAGCACCACACAGTATGCTACAATAACAGACCAAGCATCCCGTTAATCAGTTAAGGTTAATCGGTGGGAGCCCAGGAGGCAGGGGCTTCTCTGACCAGCACACCACAACAGCCCCTGCCTGCAGCAGGGTGAGGAGGCTGTTAAATACGTTTAACCAGTTAACCAGGTAAATGGGATTTTACATTCTTAGAGCCCATCTGCATCAACAGGCACCTACGGACATTAGAAAATCTGGCCCGAGGTCACTTTTTAAAATGAGACGCGTCTGAAAATCACATCCCGCATTGTCGTATTTCTCCCAGCGTCAGAGCTTCCAAGTGCTATTAACTGATGATTTCAAGAGCTAGTAAACTCCTCCAGGATGAAACTCCAGATTTATGTAACAGACAAGTGTCCCAGCACCACACAGTATGCTACAATAACAGACCAAGCATGGAAGGCTGCGGAGAGAGTTACATTGTGAAAACACCCAAGTGATTTAGGAGCATTTTGCTTTCAAAGTCAATGGGCCTTGTGCTCCCCCATCACGGGCGTTTCGTTGTCTGGACCATCCCTGTTCCGGGTGCTGGAATTTATTCTGACTCACTCGGGTACATCCATGAGCCACTGGACCGTGGAGAAGTTCAACAAGAAATGCTGCCGCTGCTGTAGATGCTGCACCCACCCAGCTAGTGTCTGTCACCACATCACATGCTCGTCAGAGGCGTCCTCACTGGAAAGGACCCAGACACTGCGCCCAGTCACTGCAGCACTGCACTCGGCACCAGCCCTCGGGCTAGTGTGGCAGCATTTTCTATTTTTTTTTCCTGAAAATGATTTTTGCCGAATATCTGCTTTTATCTTCCTTAGGTAAAACTTCTGCATTAAGGTTGGAATTAGGAAAATTGCCTCTTCAATAAGAAAACAGGTGTTGAGTATCTACCATGTCTTTGCAAAGATTTCCTGGATTTTAATTGCATTTCCTTTCACTTGTGCAAGGTTATAGCAGGTCTTTTAGCATTTAGGCTGCAGGGTGTAGATGTTCTCAGATAAAGTAATTTCTATTGCGGCGCTACCCATTCTCTCGGTGGCAGGTGGAGACTAGATGGAAACTGACCATAACCACGTTTTCTCTCTCCAGTGCTAGGAGTGCAGTTATTTCTGTACCAGCCTCAGCCGATCCAGTTTGTTGAAGTCGGTCACATCACAGAGATCCATTGTTCTTCCACTGAAAACTTGGAAGGCAAAGGGAAAGTGTTATGGTATCTGAGAAGAGAAGGAGAACCACCCACATGCATTAAGCACTGTTTGGATGATCAAAATGTGAGTAAATTTGCTTGCAAACACAAGCCACACAGCACGACACTGGAAATCAGCAACATCCAAAAGAATGAGTCTGGCGTTTACTACTGTACATATAGATACAGCAGCTACCTGATTTTCGGGAATGGATCTGCACTGATTGTTGGAGGTAAGGAACCCTGTCTTGTTTACAGAGACTAACAACTGATTAACAAAGCATACTTCATGTTCCCATTGAAGTGTGACAATGTACAACAGCTCCTGAGGAATGGCTAAAGGGAAGTAATATTTTAAGTGAAACAAAACAGCTAACCATTAAGTGATAGGGGTGCAGAAGGAATATAATGCATTTTCTATCTGAAAATACTAACACTTGAAAATGCTACAAGAGAACTACTGACGTCTCTCTATAGATGTGCACAGCACCTGGGTTGGGAAAATGTTAACCCTAAAAGTCCTCATGGCACGAAACAATATTTTGAGTAAAACATTTATCAAATGTATAAAATGACACAAACATTTCCTTATAGCTAGTTCAGCTACGGAACGTGCTCTATGTTAGTGGGTGGTTTGCTGACTTCGTATTTCCATCTTCAATAGATTTATTTTGTCAAATTGATGTTCTAGAGACAGATACGTGCAGTGGTGCTGTAGCTGTGTTGCTCTCAGGAGGTTAGAGAGACAAGATGGGTGAAGTAATCTCTTTTATTGGACCCACTTTGCAGACAAGGTTTCAAGCTTATACAAAACTCTTCTTTGGGCCTGGGAAATGACATTGCGAGTTCTCTGTGAGCTCGACAGCTTGTCTCCCTCACCGACAAAATTTGGTCCAATAAAAGATATTACCTGAGCCACCTGGTCTCTGCACAAAAGAGTCACATCTGTAATCAGGCTGTAGCTCATCCCATGATCAGACTGAATTCTCCACCTCCTTCTGCTCAGACAGTTACACCAACAGCAGCGGGGTGTTGCTTCTGGTCCCATTTCCACACGGCAGCCAAGGAACCGGGACAGCGCATCTGGCCTGTGTGGTCCGTGAAGTGTCCGGCCCCGTCCATGTTTCCTGGAGCGTTTCTGGGGAGCGGCAGGAACAGGGGCTGACGCGCTGGTTGAAGGCGAAGGATGGATCTTTAACGCTTGTGAATCACATCAGCGTCCCCTGGGACACCTGGGCCAGCGGGAAGATTTTCACCTGTGACGTCAAATTCAACTCTTCTGGCAGGAGTGTGAATGCGAGCGCCGGGTACCCTGCGGGTGAGTGATCTTGTATTGGAGGGTCATGGGAACACAGAAGTGACAGAGGTGTGAAGGGGCCACACTCAGAACTCACTCCATGTAAGTTTCCAGCACAGAAAGCTGGACAATTCTGCAGCTTAGCTTGAATTTCTCTGCACAGTTTGGGGAAGGTAACTTGAGACATTGCAAAAGGCAGGACTATGTAGCACTTTAAAGACTAACAAGATGGTTCATTAGGTGATGCGCTTTCGTGGGCCAGACCCACTTCCTCAGATCAAATTGTAGAAGAAAATTGGCAGGACCATATATACCAAAAGGATACAATGGAAAGAAAAGTGAACACATATAAAACTGACAAATCAGATTTTAGAGCAGACGGGAGGCGAGGGGAAAGGTTAGTGTCTATGAGGTAATGGTATTAGGGGTGATAATTGGGGATAGATTTCCTTCCACAATTTGATCTGTGGAAGTGGGTCTGGCCCACGGAAACTCATCACCTAATAAACCATTTTGTTAGTCTTTAAAGTGCTGCATAGTCCTATCTTTTGTTTCAGCAAGACCAGACTAACACGGCTACATCTCTGTTACTAATGAGACATTCCAGGAAGAGAGAGCCAATATAGCTCTGATCTCTAGGGAAGCTCGTACCCAAATGGTACATAATGGATCTGGGTAAAGAGTTCAATAATTATCCATATCAGGAGAGATCTTTCCCCCTGAGCTATAAAGTGACGGAGAGGGGGTGAGGTGGGGAGAGACCTACAGGGAGGATTTTGTAGATGGCAGAAGGTGCAACGATTCTGATTACAGGAGAAATAATTTGCCAAATGGAAAAGGAGTCACACAGAGAAGAAGACCAATGGGCTTGAATTGCAGCCAGGGAGATTGAGGTTGGACATTAGGAAAAACTTCTCAAGAGTCCAGGCGGTGAAACACTGGAAAAAATTGCTCAGGGCGGTGGTGGACTCTCTATATATTGGAGATTTTTAAGAGCCGGTCGGACAGACACTTGTCAGGGTTGGTCTAAACAGTGCTTGGTCCTGCCATGGGGGCAGAGGACTGGACTCGACGAGCTCTCGAGGTCCCTTCCCATTCGGGGATTCTCTGAGAAGATGCTGCAGGCTCCGGTAGACTCTCACTGGGGGGTTGGGGCGCAGGGTGAAATAGGGATCAGGGGGGAGGGGTTGGATGCGGTGGCATCACAAACCTCTTGGCTCAACTCAGCTTCTTGTGTCTGTTTTGTAGCTTCCCCCACGGCCCCGGCCAGCACATGCACAGAGTACCTTGTGCCCCTGGCGGCTGGGGCTGGGCTGCTGCTGTTGTCGGTGTCTCTGAGCCTCGTCTGGACCCTCTGCCCTTGCACGCTAGGTGAGAAACAGCCCAGCCCAACCCCTCACCCGCACCCCCAGCTTGCTACTGGGGGCTGAAACTGTCCCGTCCAAGTGTCAAATGTCACTCCTGCCTGCACCGGTCCCAGCGTATTCCCTTGTCGGGGGGCGACACAGAACGGCTTTTACTGCCCAGGGCCCAGCCACCTTGTCCATGGTTCAACATGAGCACTGGCCTTCTGACCAGTCTCTCTCCATTGGCCAGTTCAGAGTTCGGCTGCACCATCCCTCACTGAGCATCAGCGGGGGGAGTGACCGTGGAAGAGGAACTCTGACTGTTCTCTCTGTCTGTTCCAGGATGCCGGCCCCGGATCTCAGCGCCTCCAGCTTCCCGGGAGCCCCAGGTACGGCTCTTCCCAAACTGTCCCTGTCTACATCAGCGGGTCTGTCTCAAGCATTTCTAATCCTCCCCCTTCATAGATTGGGGATTTGAACAACTGGTCGTTCTTGAAGGAGCAGGTAAAGGTGAGATCGAGCAGTTGGAGTAGCAGGAGGGGAGGACAGAGACTTAGGGTGCGTCTACATAGCAGTGTAATTTCGGAATAACAGAGTGTGCATCCACAGTAGAAGCCTTTATTTGGAAATAATGTCGAGCTGGAGGACGTCTTCCTCCAACTTCTGTAACCCTCATTTCCCAAGGAGCAAGGGCAGTCAGAGGAAGAGTTTTCTTCCTTCAACCTCCTGCTGTGAAGATGGTGCCAAAAGCCGAGTTAAGCTTTTTCCACTTCAGCTGCGCAATTGACGTCACTGAAGTTGCGTCGCTTCATTCGACTTTAGCCCTGCGGTGGAGTTGTGCCCTCGTGTGTTTTGCTACTAATGTACTGTAGGGTAGTGGACAGGTCACTGATGGGTGTGTCTACACAGCACCCTAAGCTCAAAATAAGATGCACAATTTGTGCTATGTAAATTGTGTATCTCTTCTCGAATCTATTTCAAAATAGCTTATTTTGAAATTTGGCACATCTAAACAGCACGACATTTTAAAATAAGGTGCTATTTTGAGCCTTTACTTATCACTCGTACAACGAGGTTTAGCAGGATGGCGAAATAGGACGTCCATTATTTCCAGAAATATTTGGAAAGAATGGGCGCTTTGTGTGGACGCTATCCTGCAATAGCCACGAAGTGTAGGCATACCCAGACTTCTCTGTGACTCAGTTTCCCCATCTGTAAAAAGTGGATAACAAGACGTCTGAGGATAGCTGATGGGAAGTTTGATATTGATTCAAAACGAACTCTCTACAGGCTTTTGATGTGCAGCTGGGTGTAATTTCTAGCATTTCAACGAAAAAGAGTTTTTATATTTAGAAAGCACGTGTAGGTTTCCTACTGAAAGGTGCTGTGGGCCTGATCCAGAGCTCACTGATCTCAGGAGGAGACTGGGGCTTGGGTCTGGAAAATCCTGTTGGCAGATAAGTTCTTACAGTGCAAATCCAGCGAGGGTCCATCCTGACAGCGCACACAGTTTACAAGACAAACGGGGGAATCAGAGACAAAGGGGAGTCTTTCATCAGGCTACACTTGTTTGGATGCTCAGCTCGTATCCCTCAGTTTATAAAGCAGGAGGCTAATTTTACTGACTGTCATGAAACAGGCTGGAATCGTCTACGCTCATCTGGATTTCGATTCGCGGAATCACGGCGGGCGCACGCTGCAGCAACCAGCCAGAGGGAAACGTGCAAAACCCTGAGCAGTCTGGTGCAAGAAAATCCACATGTGGGAACTGACGGCTGGGTCTCTGCTGACCGGACGTGGCAGCTGGAAGAAGCCTCTGTCTGTCGCCTTCACCTTTCTTTTTCGTTTTCTCCTCTTCTCTGGTTAGAATATGCAGAGCCCAGCCTCCCGGGTGGGAAATCTCCATTGGGGATACAAAGGCTTCCTGATGTAGGTGACTTTACACGTCACTTGTGTGTTAGACTGGAAGCTCTTTGGGGCAGGGATTGTCTCTTTGTCTGTGTTTGTGCAGCGCCTGGCACCACGGGCCCTGGTCCACCACTGGGGCTGCTGGGTGCTATGGCAACACAATTATTGTTCTCATCACCCTTCCCCCATCTGCAGGGGAACAGGGACAGAGCTAAGCCACACAAGGAGTGAGGCCGGATTGCAAAAGATTGCAGAGGGAACGTGCAGTTCCCGGCTCCCCAGCAGTCACAGGCTCCCTTTGCAGTGACGTCCCATTGGACGTGCCGGGGGAGTCTGCAGGGGAAGGACGGATGCGGGAGCAGCTGGGAGGGGCGAGAATCTCTCCCTGGGCCAGTGCTGGAGCTGCTACTGCCAGGGCCCAAATGCCGGCCCCGTTGCACCGGCAGCCACCTGTTACCCATGGCTGGAGCTATCCCAAGCCTGTCCCCGCTGCCTGTTTACATCCCAGCTTGGTGTTCTTCAAGCTGTCACCGTGCCCCTCATTAAAACCCAACGGCCACCCTGCCAGTGATGTGTGTGTCACGTTTGTCACCCGCTCTGGGCCTCCAGCTCGGCTCCCTGTGCAATAAGAAAGCGACGAGTTTAACCCTCCGGGCCAGATGCCACTTTGGTTTGCAACAGCGTCAATCTGGCCTTTCAGATAAGGCCCTTCTATTGCTCCAGAATGCAGGGGAGTGATCAGGACGGTGAAAGCACAATTGGAATTGCCACTAGCAAGGGATGGGAAGGGGAACAAGAAAGGTTTCTACAGGCAGGTTAGCAATAAGAGGGTGATCAGAGAGCGGGTGGAGTCCTTACTGGATGAGGGAGGTAACCTAGTGACAGATGATGTGGGAAAAGCTGAAGTCCCCAATGCTTTCTGTGCCTCTGTCTTCATGGACAAGGTCAGCTCCCAGTCTAATGTAATAGGCAATGTAGTATGGGAAGGAGGTGGACAGTCCCTAGTGGGAAAAGAACTATTTTAAAAAAAGCTAAACGTACACAAATCCATGGGTCCAGATTTTATGCACCTGAGGGTACTGAGGAAGTTGGCAAATGTCATTTCTGAGTCTTTGAAAACTCATGGAGATTGGGAAAGATCCTGGATGATTGGAAAAAGGCAGATGTAGTGCCCATCTTTAAAAAAGGGAAGAAGGACAATCCAGGGACTACAGACCAGTCGGCCTTACCTCAGTCCCTGTTAAAATCATGGAGAGGATCCTCAAGGAATCCATTTTGAGGCACTTGGAAGACGGGAAAGTGATCAGGAATAGTGAACATGGATTCAACAAGAGCTAGTCATGTCTGACCAATCTGATTAGCTTCTATGATGAGATAACTGGCTCTCTGAACATGGGGAAGTCCATGGATGTGATGTATCTTGACTTTTGCAAAGCTTTTGATACGGTCTCTCACAATGTTCTTGCCAGCAAGTTAAGACAGTATGGATTAGATAAATAAACTGTAAGGTGGATAGAAAGATGGCTAGATTGTCGGGCCCAACAGGTAGTGATTAATGGCTCGATGACAGCTTGGTGGTCAGTTTCAAGCAGAATGCCCCAAGGATCGGTTGTAGAACTGGTTTTGTTCAACATCTTTATCAATGACCTGGTTGAGGGGATGGATTGCACCCTCAGCAAGCTTGCAGATGACACTAAGCTAGAGAGAGAGGTAATTACATTGGAGGGCAGGGATAGGGTCTAGAGTGACCTAGACAAATTGGAGGATTGGGCCAAAAGTAATCTGATGAGGTTCAACAAGGACAAGTGTAGAGTCCTGCCCTTGGGACGGAAGAATCCCAAGCATTGTCACAGGCTGGGGACCGACTGGCTAAGTAGCATTTTGGCAGAAAAGGACCTGGGGATTACAGTGGATGAGAACCTGGATATGAGTCAACAGTGTGCCCTTGTAGCCAGGAAGGCTAATGGCATATTAGGTTGCATTAGAAAGAATATTTCCAGCAGATCTAGAGAAGTGAATATTCCCCTTTATTCGGCTCTGGTGAGGCCACATCTGGAGTATAGTGTCCAGTTCTGGGCCCTACCCCCGCCCCCCCAGCTATAAAAAGATGTGGACACATGGGAGACAGTCCACCAGAGGGCAACCAAAAATGATTAGGGGGCTGGTGCACATAACCTACAAGGAGAGGCTGAGGGATTTGGGCTAATTGAGTCTACAGAAGAGAAGAGTGGGGGGGGATTTGAGAGCAGCCTTCAGCTCCCTGAAGGGGGGTTCCAAAAAGGCTGTTCACAGTAATGACAGTTGGCAGAACGAGGAGCAATGGTCTCAAGTTGCAGTGGGGGAGGTCTAGGTTGGATATTAGGAAAAACTATTTCACTAGGAGGTGGGGAAGCCCTGGGGTGGGTTCCCTAGAGAGGGGTGAAATCTCCATCCCTGGAGGTTTGTAAGTCTTGGCTTGACAAAGCCCTGGCTGGGATGGTTTAGTTGGGGTGGGTCCTGCTTTGGGGAGGGGGCTGGATTCGATGACTCCTGAGGTCAATTCCAGCCCTGGGATTCTCTGATTCTATGAAGTGGGGGGGGGAGTGTCACGGAGTGGGGGGTCCCCGGGCCCCTGCAGCAGACGGGACTCTCAGCCGCAAGCAGAACAGAAGGTTTATTGGTTCCCAGGGACACAGCGTAGCACAGACTTGTTAACACAGGAACAAAGAGCAATCCACACAATCCAACTTGGGGAGCAAGGGGACCAGAGGGAGAGTCAAGGCCCTGGGCCCCCTCTCTGCAAACTCAGCCCGTCCAGTCTAGCTCACACCCTCAGCAACCAATCCCAGTCCTGCAGGCAGCCCCGCCTCCTCCTTTGTCCAGCTTCCCAGGCAAAAGGTGTCACCTGATTGTATCTTCCACCTAGGCTCTGCTTAGGAGACAGCCTGAGCCATTGTGCATGTGTTGGGCTGAGCCGCCTGGGGCAGCCTCCCTCAGTGAGAATCACGCCCAAAACTCCCATCCCTAGCTGGGCACCGGTGCAGTGAACAGGGAAACTGAGGCACACACACACACACACACACACACACAGGCTATGTCTAAACTTGCAGAGCCTCTACACTGCACGTGCGTTCTTGCGCAAGTAAATTTACAGTACAGCGTCAGAAAACAGGGCTTCTTGCGCAACAGTTATTCTTTTCCTCATGAGGAATAAACCCAGTTGCGGAAGAGCTCTTCCACAAGAAGGCAGTGCGGATGGGCAACAGGGGTTTCTTGCACAAGAAAGCCCTATGGCTAGAATGGCTTTCAGAGCTTTCTTGCATAAGAGAGCGTCCACACTGCCATGGGCGCTCTTGCACAAAAGCACATGGCAGTGTGGACGCACACTTGCACAAGAACTTTTGCACAAGAACTCTTCTGCAAAACAGTTCTTGCGCAAGAAACCTGCAGTGTAGACATACCCCAGAGTTACTACAGAACAGCACAGGACAGTAGGAATCACACACAACGGAACAAAGCAAACAGAGCGACCCCAACCCCCACTCCCTCACAGGGAGACACTGCGTGATCAGCGCTCTGATTTCTAGGTCTGAGCTGTGGAAGCCCTGACAACAGGCAGCTCCTTCCCAGCCAGCCTGGGGGCCTGTTTCTCTTTTGTACCAAGCCCCTCCCCACCTGTATTCAAATCGCAAGCCCACGTTGCCCTCTATTGTCAGCTCTGTCAGGGCACTCAGGGACAGATGCACTTTCCTTCTCTCTCCCTGTGCCCTGCGGCCACACGCACTTGCTCACCAGCCCCGCTCAGTTTGCTGTCAGCCAGTTTATTGCTCGATCTGAGGGGAGTCACTTGAATTCCAGTGCTAGATCTGAGGGGAGTCGCATGAATTCCATCGACTTCAGTGGGAGCGAGGCTTCTCACCAGTGTTCCCTGTAAGCTGAGCGCCTGGGCAGCCACACAGGAGACATTCAAATGCCGTCCGCTTGACAACAGAGCAACCATGGCCACCCATCGCCAGCAGCAGCAGCAGATGTGTGTTTCTCCTGGTGGTGCACATCCACATATGATCTGGTGCACATAACAAAATTCATTCCACACACACATGGAAAAAAAATTAGAGTAACTAGTGCCCCAACCTCTCTTAGCCACATTGAGAATCCCACTACTCACCTTTAGGGATGTGAATATTCACTCTGTTAAATGGTTACGGTTAACCTGTGGGGACAGGAGCCAACATGCAAGCGCTACCCAACCAGGACACCAGAGCAGCCCCTGCGGTGGAGGCTGGGCTGTTAAATGTGTTTAATCAGTTAATCAATTAAATGGGATTTTGCATCCTTAGCGCCCATCTGCACTGACAGGCACTGAAAGACATTTGAAATCTGGCCCAAGGTCACTTTTTAAAATGAGACGCTTTTGAAAATCACATCCCGCATTGTCGTATTTCTCCCACATTGCAGAGCTTCCAAGTGCTATTAAATAATGATTTCAGGTGCTATTAAACAGCACATGATTGTTACACACAAGTGTCCAGGCACCACACAGTTTGCTACAATAACAGACCAAGCATGGGAGGCTGGGGAGAGAGTTACATTCACATTGTGAAAAACCCCAAGTGATTTAGGAGCACTTTCCTTTCAAAGTCAATGGGCTTTCTTCTCCCCCATCACGGGGGTTTCGTTATCTGGACCATCCATGTTCCGGGTGTTTGAAATTATTCTGACTCACTCGGGTACATCCGTGAGCCACTGGACCGTGGAGAAGTCCGACAAGAAATGCTGCCGCTGCTGTAGATGCTCCAACCCACCCAGCTAGTGTCTGTCATCACATCACATGCTCTTCAGAGGCATCCTCACTGGAAAGGACCCAGACACTGCGCCCAGTCACTGCAGCACTGCACTCGGCACCAGCCCTCGGGCTAGGCCCAACCAGGACACCGGAGCAGCCCCTGCCTGTGGTGGAGGCTGGGCTGTTAAATGTGTTTAATCAGTTAATCAATTAAATGGGATTTTGCATCCTTAGCGCCCATCTGCACTGACAGGCACTGAAAGACATTTGAAATCTGGCCCAAGGTCACTTTTTAAAATGAGACGCTTTTGAAAATCACATCCCGCATTCTCGTATTTCTCCCACATTGCAGAGCTTCCAAGTGCTATTAAATAATGATTTCAGGTGCTATTAAACAGCACATGATTGTTACACACAAGTGTCCAGGCACCACACAGTTTGCTACAATAACAGACCAAGCATGGAAGGCTGAGGAGAGATTTACATTCACATTGTGAAAAACCCAAGTGATTTAGGAGCATTTTCCTTTCAGAGTCAGTGGGCTTTGTGTTCCCCTGTCACAAGAGTTTCGTTATGTGGACCATCCCTGTTCCGGGTGCGTGAAATTATTCAGACTCACTCGGGTACATCCATGAGCCACTGGACCGTGGAGAAGTTCGACAAGAAATGCTGCCGCTGCTGTAGATGCTCCAACCCACCCAGCTAGTGTCTGTCATCACATCACATGCTCTTCAGAGGCGTCTTCACTGGAAAGGACCCAGACACTGCGCCCAGTCACTGCAGCACTGCACTCGGCACCAGCCCTCGGGCTAGTGTGTCAGCATTTTCTTCTTTTTTCTGAAAATGATTTTTGCTGAATTTCTGCTTTTATCTTCCTTAGGTAAAACTTCTGTGTTCAGCTTTGGAACTGGGAAAACTGCCTCTTCAATGTGAAAATGGGTGTTGAATATCTACCGTGTCTTTGCAAAGTTTCCCTGGACTTTAATTGCATTTCCTTTCACTTGTGCAAGGTTATAGCAGGTATTTTAGCATTTAGGCTGCAGGGTGTAGATGTTCTCAGATGAAGTAATTTCTATTGCGGCGCTATCCATTCCCTCGGTGGCAGGTGGAGACCAGATGGAAACTGACCATAACCATGTTTTCTCTCTCCAGTGCTAGGAGTGCAATTATTTCTGCACCAGCCTCAGCCGATCCAGTTTGTGGAAGTTGGTCACAGCGCAGAGATCCACTGTTCTTCCACTGAAAACTTGGATGGGGAAGGGAAAATGTTTTGGTATCTGAGAAGAGAAGGAGAAACACCCACATGCATTAAGCGCTGTGTGGATGATCAAAATGTGAGTAAATTTGCTTGCAAACACAAGCCACGCAGCACGACGCTGGAAATTAGCAACATCCAACAGAATGAGTCTGGAATTTACTACTGTGCAAATAAACAGAGCAGCTACCTGATTTTCGGGAATGGATCTATACTGATTGTTGGAGGTAAGGACCTCTACCTTGTTTAGGGAGACAAAGAACTGATTAACAAAGCATACTGCATGTTTCCATTGAAATGTGACAAGGTACGATAGCTCCTGAGGAACTGTTAAAGGGGTGTAATATCTTAAACGAAACAGATCAGCTAACCATTAAATGATATGGGTGCAGTAGGAATATAATGCATTTTACAATGCAATCTGAAAATACTAAACCTTGGAAGTGTGAAAAGTGACTTACGAACGTCTCTCGATAAATGAACAATGCCTGGGTGAGGAAAATTTTAATGCTAAAAGTTCTCATGGCACAAAAGAATATTTTGAGTAAAAATATTTATTAAATGTATAAATTACACCAGTATTTCCCTGCAGCTACGGAACAATGTGCTCTCTATTGGTTAGTGCAGTGGTGCGCAACGTTTTTTCAACTACGACTCCCATATTTCCTTTACTCTTGTCATGACCCCCAAGGTAATTTGAGCAGCGCTTAGATCCAGCCAGCGAAAGCCTGGGCCTGGCTGTTGGTGGCCCCGCAGAGTGGCGCAGTGTGGCACTTAAATCTCAGTGGCCGGGGCTTATGCCCACTACTACAGCGACCCCCCAGAAAGACATCCATGACCCCGACCCCTGGGTTGCAAACCACTGGGTTGGCAGGTAGTTTGCTGATTTCGTATTTCCATCTTCAATAGATTTATTTTGTCAAATTGATGTTCTAGAGACAGATACGTGCAGTGGTGCTGTAGCCGTCTTGCTCCCAGGGTGTTAGAGAGACAAGATGGATGAAGTAATCTCTTTTATTGGACCCACCTTGGAGACAAGATTTTGAGCTTACACAAAGCTGTTCCTTGGGTCTGGGAAATAACATTGCAAGTTCTTTGTGAGTTGGACAGCCTGTCTCTCTCACTGACAGAATTTGGGCCAATAAAAGATATTACCTGATCCACACCGAGTGACAAAGTCATATCTGTAATCAGGCTGCAGTTCACCCAATGATCACACTAAATTCTCCACCATCCCTTGCTCAGACAGTTACACCGACAGCAGCGGGGTGTTGCTTCTGGTCCCATTTCCACACAGCAACCAAGGCACCGGGACAGCACATCTGGCCTGTGTTGTCCATGGAGTGTCTGGCCCCGTCCATGTTTCCTGGAGCGTTTCTGGGGAGCAGCAGCAACAGAGGCTGACGCGCTGGTTGAAGGCGAAGGATGGATCTTTAACGCTCATAAATCACATCAGCGTCCACTGGGACACCTGGGCCAGTGGCAAGATTTTCACATGTGAAGTCAAATTCAACTCTTCTGCGAGTGCCGGGTACCCTGCCGGTGAGTGATCTTGTACTGGGGGGTCAAGGGAACACAGAAGTGACAGAGGTGTGAAGGGGCCACACTCAGAACTCCCTCTATGTAAGTTTCCAGCACAGAAAGCTGGACTATTCTGCAGCTTAGCTTGAATTTCTCTAAACCAGTGTTTCTCAAATTTTTTTATAAAGTGCCCCATTTTTTAAAAAAACTTATAAGTACCCCCAATACCTACAGTTTTCAGACACACACATTTTTTTTCTGCTGTTGAAAAACATTTTTTTAAACTATTTAATTGTAGTTGAGCGGGCGATGAAATCTTTCAGAGTAAAAAGTAAAAAAAATAACACAGCGCTGTAAAACTTAAAACAAACAATGAGTTTTCTCCACATTTCGGTTGTGCTGACATACCCCCCAGACGTGTGTCGAGCACCCCTAAAGGTAGTCGTACCACTGGTTGAGAAACACTGCTCTAGACAATTTGGGGAAGACATTCCAGGGAGAGCAACCAATGTAGCTCTGATCTCTAGGGCAGGTCGCACCCAGATGATACATAATGGATCCAGGTAACGAGTTCAACAATAATCCATATCAGGAGAGATCTTTCCACTGAGATATAAGGTGATGGAGAGGGGGTGAGATAGGGAGAGACCTACAGCGAGGATTTTGTAGATGGCAGAAGGTGCAACCTTTCTGATTACAGGAGAAATAATTTGCCTAAGGAAAAAAAGAAGCAACACGGACCAGAACACCAATAGGCTTAAACTGTAGCAAGCGAGTTTGAGGTTGGACATTAGGAAAAACATTCTAGCTGTCCGGGTGATGAAACACTGGAATAAGTTGCCTGAGGAGGTTGTGGAATCTCCATCCCTGCAGATATTTAAGAGCAGGTTGGACAGACACCTGTCAGGGATGGTCTAGACAGCGCTTGGTCCTGCCCTTGATGTCCTCTTGAGGTTCCTTCCCGTTTAGGGATTCTCTGAAAAGATGCTGCAGGCTCCGGTAGACTCTCACTGGAGGGTTGAGGCGCAGGGTGAAATACAGATGGGGGGGAAGGGCTGGATGCGGTGGCATCACAAACCTCTTGGTTCAACTCAGTGTCTTGTGCCTTTTCTGTCCCTTCCCCCACAGCTCCGGCCAACCCGTGCTCACAGTACCTTGTGCCCCTGGCGGCTGGGGCTGGGCTGCTGCTGCTGTCGGTGTCTCTGAGCCTCGTCTGGACCCTCTGCCCTTGCACGCTAGGTGAGAAACAGCCCCCCCCTGCCCCTCCCCCGCAGAGAGAAATCCTGCCCCCAGCTTGCTACTGGGGGCTGCAGCTGTCCCGTCCAAGCTGCAAATGTCACCCCTGCCGGCACCGGTCCCAGCGTATTCCCTTGTCGGGGGGCGACACAGAACGGCTTTTACTGCCCACGGCCCAGCCACCTTGTCCCTGGTTCAACACTCTGCGAGTTACGACTGGGCTGCTGATGCTGTCGGTGTTTCTGACTCTTTTCTGGACCCTCTGCCCTTCCACACTAGGTGAGAAACAGCATGGCCCAGCCCCTCCCACACAGACAGAAATCCTGCCCCCGGCTTGCTACTGGGGGCTGCAGCTGTCCCGTCCAAGTGGCAAATGTCACTCCTGCCGGCACCAGTCCCAGCGTATTCCCTTGTCGGGGGAGTGACACAGAACGGCTTTTACTGCCCATGGCCCAGCCACCTCGTCCATGGTTCAACATGAGCACTGGCCTTCCGACCGGTCTCTCTCCATTGCCAGTCCAGAGCTCGGCTGCACCATTCCTCACTGAGCAGCAGTGACCATGGAAGATGAGTCCCTTCACTACTCAGGGACTCAGTTTCCCCATCTCTAGAAAGTGAATAAAAAGACATCTGGAGCTGGATGATGGGAAGTTTGATATTGATTCGGACTATTCCCTCTACAGGGTTTTGTGTGCAGCTGGGAGTCATTTTTAGCATTTAAACAAAAAAGTTTTAAGACATTATATTTATAAAGCATGTATAGGTTTCCCACTGAATCCAGTCCGAATCCAGTGAGGGTCCATTCTGACAGCGCACACAGCTTACAAACTAAAAGGGGAATCAGAGACGAGAGGGAGCTTTTCATCAGGCTACACCCACTCAGATGCTCCGCTCGTATCCCTTCAGTTTACAAGGCAGGGGGCTAATTTTATTGTCGCCAAACAGGCTGCAATTGTCCACGCTCATCTGCATGTTGATTCGTGGAATCGCGGCGGGCGCACGCTGCACCAGCCAGAGGGAAACGTGCAAAACCCTGAGCTGTCCGGTGCAAGAGAATCTGCACATGGGAACTGACAGCTGGGTCTCTGCTGACCGGACGTGGCAGCTGGAAGAAGGCTCCATCTGTCGCCGTCGCCTTTCTCTTTCGTTTCCTCCACTTCTCTGGTTAGAATATGCAGAGCTCAGCCTCCCCAGGCAGGAAATCTCCTTTGGGGATATAAAGGCTTCCTGGTGCAGGTGATTTACGCGTCACGTGTGTGTTAGACTGGAAGCTCTTTGGGGCAGAGACTGTCTCTTCGTCTGTGTTTGTGCAGCACCTGGTGCCATAGGCCTTGTTCAACACTGGGGGTGCTGGGTGCTATGGCAACACAATCATTGTTCTCATCACACACACCTTCCCCCATCTGCAGGGGGACCCGGACACAGCTGAGCAGCACAAGGAGTGAGGCCGGCTGGCAGGAGCCTGCAGAGGGGACGTGCAGCCCCCGTGTGTGCCGCAGCTCCCTGGCAGTTGCCGGCTCTCTTTGCAGTACCGCCCTGTGGATGTGCCAGGGGAGTCTGCAGGGGAAGGACGGATGCGGGAGCAGCTATGAGGGGCGAGAATCTCTCCCCAGGCCGGCGCTGGAGCTGCTACTCCCCTGCGGCCTCTGCAGGCAGCCGGCTTTCCA